ACCAGCACCATGCAAGCCTGGATTTATCCCACCTCCCAGTCTTAGGGATTTTCAACAAGTCCTGAGTATCTGCTTATTCTCTGAAGACAGAAGGGCACAGAGGCTTGTACAACCACGGCTCACTTTTGGAACCCCTGCAGTGGGTGCTGACATGCTCGGCACATCAGCAACTTCTATTTCCCCTGCCAGAAGCTTCATTTGGGGAGGCAGAGTTGCCTGAGCCATTCTCTTTCCTGTGAGAGATGTCCCAGTGGTAGCATTTTCTGTCACCCATCTCCTCCAAAAGCCCTGCCAGTCATCCTACCTTGGCATGTCATGCCTTCCCCTTGCCCATTGGCTGTGAATGTAAGCAGCTGCTGCAGCAAGAGGGACAGTATGGACTGTCAACTTTTTAAGAGCTGGGAAACATGCAAGTCTGCTTCTCGTGTTTGGATGTTGCACGTAGGACTATCCATTGCTGGCTGTAGGCGTAGGTCTAGGTGGGCGAAACCACAACATCAAGCAGAACATCTACAGCCTGTTTGTCTCTTATCGTTGGCCATAGTCTGTGCTGGACTGTGCTGACTCAGAAGTGCTTCCACAGAAGCATCCCAAAAAGGTTCAGGATGGGGACACCAAGTGCATTCCCCAACCACACTGTAGGCAACCATGATGGTAAAAAAATTCAAACTGTGCTCGGAGCTGCTCTGTCACTGACTCTGTTTTACTCCTCTTCATTGTCCTGTGGGAGAGGTGAGGTAACAGGTCGTGCCAGCAGCTGAGCAGGCAGCTTTTCATCTCCCTTCCTCCTGGCTGGCATCAGACCTTTTCTGGGCAGTACAAGGCCCATGTAATCAGCTGAAGCCAGCTGCAAAACAGGACCAGGCTTTGTGGCAGCTTGGACCACAACCTGCCATTACTGTGGCCAAGAAGCCACCGGACCTGGGTCTCTTTGGGAAGTCTGGTCCCTGGCGAATCCATTATGCCACCTCTGAAAAATGTAATCTTGCCATCCCAAACCTTAAGACATTTGTTTATTTTGCCTCCATTTTTAGAATGACATTCTTAAATTTCACCTATTTCTGCTTTCATTTCTTTGCTGCCTCAAGGACAACTTGGGGGAGAACCATGGAGAACCACTCTGAGATAGCTAAGCCTCATTTTGCACAAGCCAAGGACCACTGCATGGTTTGCAGGAAATCTGGAAAGGGAAAAGCAAGGCATGAACCTTTCTCAGGTTTCAAAGGGTGTGCTGGTTTTGGCTGGGATAGAGTTAATTTTCTTCACAGTAGCTAGTATGGGGCTATGTTTTGGATTTGTGCTGGAAACAGTGTTGATAACACAGGGATGTTTTCGTTACCGCTGAGCAGTGCTTACACAGAGTCAAGGCCTTTTCTGCTTCCCACCCCACCCCACCAGTGAGTAGGCTGGGGGTGCACAAGAAGTTGGGAGGGGACACAGCTGGGACAGCTGACCCCAACTGACCAAAAGGATATTCCACACCATATGATGTCATGCTCAGCATATAAAGCTGGGGGAAGAAGAAGGAAGTGGGGGACATTCGGAGTTACGGTGTTTTGTCTTCCCAAGAAACCATTACATGTGATGGAGCCCTGCTTTCCTGGAGATGGCTGAACACCTGCCTGCCCATGGGAAGTAGTGAATGAATTCCTTGTTTTGCTTTGCTTGGGTGCGCATCTTTTGCTTTACCTATTAAACTGTCTTTATCTCAACCCACGAGTTTTCTCACTTTTACTGTTCCGATTCTCTCCGCCATCCCACTGGGGAGGGTAGTGAGTGAGTGGCTGTGTGCTGCTTAGTTGCCGGCTGGGGTAAACCACGACAAAGGGTTACTTTTCCTTTTCTCCAAAAGAACATCTCCATCATACAAGGGTGGATGCTGGTTGTTTGAAGAAAATACTCAGAGGATGTGGTTCCTCTGTCTCAGCTCTACTCTTCAAAAATTTGCAAAATGGAATCAACAGAGAGAAGTGCCTGTCTCTGAATTTCCAATTAACACCCCACAAGTGCTTGGGTAGCTGCTTCTCTTAGAGCTTTCGTGTTTGTTCACACTTCCAGGGTAGACATCAGTGTAGAGAGTTATTATAGGCCATTTTACTTGTAACTCTGGTAACATGTCTGTTCCATAACTTAAAGCAAGGCTAGAACTATATGGAGAATGAAAATGCTTCCAGAACTTTGGGTTTTCTAGAGACATTTTAATCCCAGTTCAAGAAAACTTCAATATTAGAGTGTTCTGCAAAATGAAAAATATCTAGTTTCAGATGGATCAGTTCTTTTCCAATTTAGATTTTTTATACATCTCACATATGTGTGTATGAAACACAAAAATCAAAGTAAAAAGCCATTTCAAAAAGGAAAGTATAAGGCTTTCATTTAAAGATGTCAAAATGAGCTATTTTGACATTGCCAGAGCCTTTCATCCTGGTTTTTCCTCACGTAAATGAAATTTCAGTAAAAAAGACAAGACTTCACAAAACGTTTAAAGAGAGGTACACTATTTTAATCAAAACATGTTCTGCTTCTGGTTTGATTATCAACTGTAATAAAAAAAAGGTTTTGTTTTTGTTAAAATAAAAAAATTGAGACTCAGGTAATAATAAGATACAGCAGCACTCAGTTAACTGGCATAGAGTGTATAATAACATCTACTTCAGACTTTAGCTCTCAAACAGTCATTTATATTATCCATCAATCACTGATTTTCCACATACAAAAGATAAATCCTCTTGACATTCTTCAGCTCTGGTAGGTAGCAAACAAATGTGAGTCTGAATTTTTAAAGACATTTTTTAATAAGAAAAATTTTCTACTGCTGAGATTAGATGCCTCACTATATTTCTTTTTTTTTTCAGTTGATTTTACTGGAATTTTGCAATCTATTTATAGTAACACATGTAGATTATTCTACTGAATTTGATGGAAGTATGAGAGTTGCCTGCATATTTGAAGGATAGGGATTTTAATGATTGAAGGACTTCAATGCATTTGCTCTAGCAGGCAATTATCCTTCATGAAAACTGTTTTCCAGTTAGAGTTAAAACCAACTCCCTGATAATTGCCACCTTCTTGTACAGTGATTTAGAAACACAACTAATTGGCAAACTTGGCATCATGCTATATTAAGTAAGTAATCTGCTTTATCTTATTAGGTCTGTTATCACACCCGACTTTCAAATTTGATTTGGAGATATGAAGGACGTGAAGATCAGCTATAGGACCCACTTGCCCAATTGTGAAAATAATCAACAGAAAAAGTCTGTTTTCCCATGCCATGAAACATCTCATTGAATACATGACACTTTGCTGATGTAATTGACGTTAAACAGCACATTAGACTACTATAATTATAGGGATCCTGCTGCATCAAAACGTAACGTAATGATTAGTCTTATTATGTAGGCTTTTTTCCGTATATTAATTTTCTTATAAACGAGAAACAAAATGAAAAAAATACACCAGTGCTCAAAAACCAACTTCTGGAAACTCCTGTTAATAAGAAGGAGAGGCAGATATTAATATCATTTCTTCAGACAGTAAAAATGTTCTTCAAATTGAAACCTAGTTCATCCCATACAGTTAAACAAACAAAAAGGGGGTTCAACTCTAAACCAGATATTTCTGGAAAAAAAATGAAACTAGTCATCTATTGAAAGGTTAATAAAAAGCAGGAAAGACATTTAAACCTTTTTTTGCCAATTCCAGTGTTTTTTCTGCTTTTAATGGGTACTAAGTAAGCAGGTTTTAAAGGGCACAGAAGAAATATCAGCATAGTTTCTTCTACGTCATAAGTGATCTTTCATGACTATCGAATCAAAGAAAATGTTCACTCTCACATAGGTGTGAGATACAGGCAAGACTAAATTACAAGTAAAAGAGTACTCCAGTAAAAATGTTCTGAGATCATCTCCAAGTTAGGCCAAAATATAAACTCCATCTAATTTCTTACATGAAAATCTAAGATGTGGAATAACAAGTTAAGATGAGGGCAACACAGTAATTTTTTTCTTAGGCTTCCCTGTTAATCTTCCTGCACATAAAATATTCATTTCCAATATTTTCTCATACTTCCACTGATCTTTTTTCTGCAGCAGTGGTGGTAAACTTTGTTGGGTCTGGTGCCAAGTTTATTTTAAAAAGCAGTGTAACTTTCTTCAGCGATTCCCATCCAAATCCCTGCTGATGCCAAATCTGGCACCAGTTCTCCACAGCTTTTCCACACTAAACAGCTACTGAACTCTGAAAATATTTAGATATTAGTGAAAGACGTGTTTATCCACTGCGATGCTGCTTCTACTTCTTAAATATCCATGTCTTTCCCAAAACACACCAACTGACTTGCTGGCGACCACCCCTTCCATCTACTGGCAGAAAAGCACCACTGCCGAGCACAGAGGACCAGAGGCTGTGGGCCGGGCTCCCAGCCTGCACCACCTCTGATTTGGTGGAAACTGTAGTTACCTCTTCTTTGCAAGCATGGAAGAAAGGAGAGGCTTTTACAGAATTCTATCCTCCTCCTCCCTTCTTCTTTTCTCCTGTTTCCACCTCTAAAAAGAAGGCATCTCATTGCTGAGGAGCCCGGTGACCCAAGGGTGGCTCAATACGTGGATATACTCCGTGCTTTGATCAGGACAGGTGAAATGCAATGGTCTGGACTTGTTCATGTTAGATCCTGACTGCCAGCCACATCATGCTGGAGGTGAGGGAGGACCTGGCTTGGGACCTGACTGTGCATCAGGAGCTGGCAGCTGTGTTTTCCCTTTCCTTCTGCAGAAGCAGAGAGGGAAAGCGAAAAGGCGTTGTGTCATCTGAGAAAGCCTCTGTGTCATCTCTGGCTGGGAACAGTGTCCTTTGCCTGCTGCCAATGTGCTGAAAACTGGCCCTAGGGATAAAGATTGCAGGAGAGGTAGTCTATTGGCAGCATGTCCTCAGTCAGGCCTTTGGAGAAATAGCTCAGAGGGCAAAGGCAGTTCCCTAAACTCTTCTGTCCACATGGACTGCCCCTGCTCTTTCCAGAGCTGACACTGGTTGGGGCGTGCCGGGAAGCAGGGAGGGCAGAGCGTGAGCCTCCCAGGTCTTTCTGCAGAGAACGGCCACGATTTAATGAAGAAGTGCAAATGGATGCACGACTGGAAAGAGGTGAGGGGCACAAGAGATTTAATGCGCAGGTCTGTGCATGACCTGCAGCCACCTTGGAGGTGTAACGCAGCCTCCACATAGCAACGAGCTGGGGAAGGCAGCCCCTCTCCAACTTCTGCTTAGAGGTTTGAGTGCCTTTTATTGTGCACATGAGGGAATCAGCCACCTGCCTTATAACAGTGGCATCTTGCAGGTGCCTTGCCTGGGGACAGCATCTATCTACAAAACACATTAGAAAAATGTCAGTTTGGGATGCATCACTCACCTTTTTAAATCATTGAACAATAATCAGCAATGATTCAATGGCTGGTTTTGACAGTTTCCTGGAATTATTGTATTGTATTACAGATATATATTATAATTTAGTGCATGTACACATTTTTATATATATAATGTATGCGCGCACACACGTTAGCACTCTTGTTAAAAATATGTACAGCCTTTTTATTTAAAAAGGATGGAGAGTATAATCAAATGTCAGACCCTGAAAAACCCACATGCTGACGGAATGCTGTGTAATCTGCGATCACTGTTCTGTGGCAGGTGACTTTGAAGGGCTGCCAGAGGAATCTCATGACATTGAATAAAGCTGACTGTGCAATTTAAGAGTTTCCTACCTAGGGAGGGAGTTCAATTTGGATTTTGAATTGCTTACTTGAAGAGCAGAGACTCCAACACACAGAATTTCTGTTGTTGTTCTGATTTCTTTTACTCTCTATTTTGCATTGCAAATCTTTTGTTTAGCATTGGTAGCAAGGCTTACTAACAGACAGCCCCTGTGGACTCAGCCCACTCGCCTGTCAACCTGGTGAGCTGGCTAGCAGATGAAGGCACTGTCTTCTCCAGAAACAGCAGACAGGTTGAAGCTGACTTTTCCTCCAAGCTTTTTGTGCTTCTCTTGAATTAGCTCTAGCTGCCAGGCTAGCTCTGAATCAGGATGCAGAGACTCCCAACCTGACAACCAAGCAGAAGAGGGCCCCCTCACCTCCTCTCCTCACATCCCCAACCAACTCTTTTATTGATCTCTTTTCTGTTGAGATGCCACCACCAGTTGGGTGTAGTTCCTTCTTCCAGACAGAAGCCTGTGCGAATGTCTTGGGCATCGTCCTGCCCTTGCTGCAGGGACAGGACCCCAGTGTTCTCACCTCTTATGGAAAAAAATTGCATGCTGGATTTATATTTTCCTTTTCAACCAAGCAAGTACCTGGAATGCATTACTCCAATCTGCAATTTATATTTAAACCTTTTTTTAATGGATATTCAGAAAATATCAGATGTCAGTCTTCAGCAGCTTAATCAAACAATGCATTTTACTGCTTTCCCCTGGACTTTGAACGTCTACTTGTTAGAGCTTATTTGTGCTATGACAATTTTCTATTTTTTACATCAAGGATTTATTGCTTCAGTAATTAATGACTAGACTGTGGTAGTCTTCGTTTATGATGAGTAAGTCCTTACCTCATGGACTATTTCAATACTTTTAGAATAAAGAAATGCTCAATATGGAAATTCTTCATTCTCCTGAAATGAACAGCAAAATATCCATCTATTTCAAGAGGTGGGAGCAAAATATTCATCTTGACAAAAGAGTATGATATTCTGGTGCTAAGATATAAGAAGATATTTAATGGTAAAATATTTAAAGTGTATGATTACCTAAATCATATCCTGGTGACTTATTATGAAGGAGAACTAAAATTTTACTAAAAGCAGAAAATTGGGAATCACTGTAAGGCATAGTTTGATTTTTTTTTTTTTTGAGTGGGATGTGTCCCGTCTCTAAAGAAATTATGTCTAGTGCTTGCCAGAGGTTCTCTCTAGCTCTCATGGCAGCAAAAATGTCAGCTACTAAAAAGGCGCCCGCATCAGCAGAAGGAGGATACATTGCAGGATCCATGACACACACAGTTTTGTGGCGGGATGACTACAGTAGATTGAGGAATCTAACCTTGCAGTATTTGCTGGGTACAGCATGATATCCCCCCCCCCCCCCCCCCTCCCCCCCCCCACTGTTCTTTGAAGGCATTTAGAAATAAGCTAGTGCTGAGAGTATGTTATGGTTGTTTGCTTATACAAAATACATATTTACAGCTTTTCTATAGAAAGTAATAACATTATCTAAGTGGTTTCAAAATAAACCTACAATGCCTGCTCTGAAGGAAAAAAGTTTACCTAAGGAAATTCTCTTTGTGGGTCTTTAAATTGTCCTCTGGATATTACTGCTATATGACCTATAGCAATTTTCTGTAGGGGTAACAGAGGGTTCCCCTCTTCTGTGTTTGAGGGGAAGTTATCAGACTTTAAAGTTTTTTTTAAATAATTTTTTGATGGGAATGATTTGAGTCTAACTCAAACAGAGAGGTTAATAGAAGCCTTTTAAAATGTAATTGAGTGCTGTTAAAAGAAAAAGGAGAATGATATGAGAGATCTTTTAGAAGCCATAAAGAGGAGATCACAGTCTTCAAAGATTTGTATTCAAGTGTTTTCACCAAAATTTTCTGCTGCTAAGTAAAAAAAAAACACCTAAAGCTAAAGCTCCTTCACCACAATTACTTGTTTTCCACCAAGAAACTCGCCACAAATGAAATTGATAGAAACTGATGTACGTGTTTCTTGTCCCAGGAGAAAGTCTGTAGCTTAGTAATGTATTAAATTTAGAGTGTTTAGAGTGTTTTTCCTGACCTAGGTGATACTATAAGTCTTTTCAAAGAGTGAATTTGCAGATGAACTGGCTGGCAGTTTCATCCTAACATTTAGAAAGGGAAATCTCAGTGTTTAGAAGTTTTGCTGCCACTAAAAAACCTGAAGTAGGTAATCATCCCTCCTAGGATGAGGAGTAGGGTTATGATATTTATTTCTGCAGCCTCTTTAGAAGGTAAGTGTTGGGTTATTGCTCAACACATAGTACTTGTATTGCACCCAGACCAGCAGGTACAATGAACAATCAGAATTTCTATTTATTATTGAACTTTGTTGTTTCTCCTCATACCTGTACACATAGGTACACTGTTTTCCTACTCTGAAAATTTCCTACAGTATGTACCTACTCTGAAAATAACTCTGAGAGACATCATTTGGTACCCTCAAGAGTACAGACAGGAGCTGACATAAAGCTGGCCTCACAATGTAAATAAATTTCAACTATTCCCAAACATCAGCAACTTAAGGACCTGATTTGTCCCACCAGTAACAGTGGACTATCCAAACTGCTTATTAAAAAAGAGTCTAAAAACAGTCTGAATTTGTTTTTATAATTTTGGGAGGAAACTTACTTTGGAAGTTTTTCAACAAAATGTTAATGTTTCTCTTTCGTCTTTGACTGTAACTCTCCACTCTCCTTCTCATACTCTTCATACCCACATCATCTTGTGCTTCTCTCATCTACTTCCAAATATTATCATCTGACAAAAAAAAAAAAAAGAATAAAGGTTACAACACAGTCACATATCAATGTGATTTTTGGGAAGGATGCTAGATAAATCATTGTCTTCACACTTCACATTGTCTGCACTGTCAGAACCTCTTGACTTCTCCAACATCAGTTGCAGGGGTAGGAGTGGATGCTGACTGCCATGCTTTATGGGCAGCCACAGGGAAGGGACTTCAGCTCTGCCAGGGACAGTGGTTTTGGCTATTCAGCCCACGTACATCTGCATGCCCAGCACCAACAGGTCTTAACTTAGCTATGCTGTGAAGGAACCTCTTTCCTACAACTTCCTCCCTTTCCCTGTATGAAGTGAGTCTCATTTTCCTTTTTTCCTTTTAAGGAAAAAAGCCATCAAAGTCTTTCTCTCTGCAAATAATTATGTTAGCTGGGATTCAATGTTAGGAGGCCATTCACACCTTTCCAGAAAATAAATCCACAATGCAGAAAAGACAAGGCAAATGCTTTTCAGGGTTTGTTCTGCTGCATAAATTTCTACTGAAAAACATCTTTCCATTGCTAATGTGGTGATAACTTGACATTCATGTAACGTGTTGCATATTGAATAGATGTGGGTGATTTTTAAAAGCAGTTTTCAAGACTCCCCTGGAAAAAAATGAAGCTGTTTGTTAGAAATTATTTAGTCTGTTCACTTTCCTTAAGGCATTTGCTGTGGAAATAGGAGAAATTTTTTAGTTCTTTGGGAATTAAAATGTGTTGTTGAGACATTATCTTTATTGTCTTAGTCATAATTGTATCCTTAAAACACATATCTGAGCTATATCTGGTCAGATAAAGGCTTTGGCTTATAATACTTAAGATGTAGAAGTATTTTAGGGCCTCCAAGTAGTTAATATGGTTCTGACTAACTATTCCCCGTTTTAAGAGAGAATGCGTAACCAAAAAGTCCAGATGTGATGCCAACACTTTCATAATTATTTAGGTATAGAACAGATACCTTAAATTAAAGATTTGTGGGAGTTTCACTGAGCCCTCCCATCCTCTACCATTTTTTAAAAATTGTGCCAAAATTCAAGTTTCAGTGAAAAGTGTTATTTGACATTTTAATCTTTGATATGTTTTGACTGGTTAGCATACATATCTTGGCAGGTCTAGGTATCCCAGTCCTACAACCTCACTGCACTAACTTGCATCATTTGTTACCCAAAAAGTAATAGCAGGACAGTATTTTTGACCACAAAACTAAATTGAAAGAACATTTGTGCAGGGAGTCTGGGTTTTTTTAACTAAAGACTTCGAGAAGTTTCAGCTTTACAAAAGAAGGATGGATGCTTCATGGTCCACCTATTCTCTCCAAGTATTGCTTGAGGATGTGCATACTCTCACAGCGGTACGTGTTGCAGATCACGCTCAGGCCCTTGGGTCAATCTGTGCATGTTGGTTACTCCCCACTGTGCTCTCGCTTGGCATCCTAAAGAGCAAAATGTACCTGTGATGGGTCTGTGCACGCCCCACAATATTTCCACCTCCTGCATCTGGCATGTGCCCCGTGCTCAGCTCTCGGGAGCCCCACGTGAACCCTGTAATCATGCCAAGGGCACAGCTGCATCTGCTG